ATAGATAGATAGATAGATAGATATATAGAGATAGAGAGAGAGAAAGAAAGAGAGAGAGAGAGAAAGAAAGAGAGAGAGAGAGAGAGAGAGAAAGAAAAAGAGAGAGATAGAAAGAGAGAGAGATCACAGCCACACCCGGAGTGAGACTTTCCCCTAACACAACACATCTTAGTCCACACTACAGCTGTGAGTGATTGTTCCATGCCTTTGTTTTCTGCTCCCATCCACGCAACTAACATCACTCAGGAGACAGACTCCCCCAACCACCCCCACCCCCGCATATAAATTCCTGCGAAACTTTTGTACAGTACGACACGGATAGCTTGAATTCATCGGGACTAGCCTTGGTAGTTCGAGGGATCTGTAGTTCGAGCGATATCTTACAAAGACAAAAGAAGGAAAAAAACAACCCCGGAACCACATGCCCAGTTCGATGGATGCGTGATTTCGAGTCTTCTGTGTTCGACCTATCCGTGTTATACGGTATTTCAGTTACTGACCTCAATGTGAAATCACATGAGCACACACTGACAACTTTCTGACTTGAACAAAGTCATACAGGTACAATGTACCGTAACGTACCCTAACTACGCCTTAAAGTTAAAGTTAAACCAAAGCTAAACACACTGACAACTTTCTGACTCAGACAAATTCGTACAGGTACAATGTACCAGAACCTACCCTAACCACACCGTAAACCTAAGCCAAACGTAGCCTAACCACACCTTAAACCAAAGCCTAACGTACCCCAATCACGCCTTAACCGTTTCGCACTTACAGCGCCCGTATGCGGCCGCGCCGGTGACCCCCGCTCATCCCTATACTATAGCGGCCGAATGCGCCCGCCACGGAGGCTTCTACTTTTACTATCATCAGAAGTTTCACTTAGCTATCTTTATAGAGGAAGAGTTCCGGTTTACTATGGTGTTTTTCTTGTTTCGCTAGAACAAAGAGTCACTTTTTGAGCGGGGAAGAAAAGTCGGAGGGGATTTTAGTTGTAAACACGCCATCATGTCTCTAGGATGCATGGGCGCAAAG